TTGTGACTGGTCGTGGCAGGGCAGAGAGCAAAGGGGCAGCCAGGAGGGAAGGTGGGAGCCAGGAGCCGGCAGGAGCCTGAGAGTCAGGTGTGACACAGGCAGTTCCTTCCTCTCCTTCCAGCAGGAAGCACCAGAAGGGTCACGGAGGTCACAGTGTCCCTTGGAACTCTCACTGGGGCGTCCGGATTCAGCTTGAAGCTAGCCCCTGACTCAGAGGAGGCTCCTGAGGTTAGAAACAAGAAAGTGAGGGCTGGTCTTCGTCCTCTGATGTGACACACCCAGCAGGACGATGCTTGGGCGTGTGTGTGCATGTGTGTCTGTGCACGTGTCTGTGTATATGTGTGTGTCTGTGCATGTGTGTGTCCGTGTGTATGGTGTGTCTCCGTGTGTATGTGTCCATGTGTGTCTGTGTGCGTGTGCCTAGTGTCAGTTTCCAAGAAGGGCAGTTTTTCTGGAAACAGATGAGCTTCAGCAGAGAAGCNAAGTATGTAACCTCGGACAAATTGCTTAGCTTCTCTGAGCCTCAGTGGCCTCATCTGCAAAACGGGAAAAGTACTTTCTTTTTTTTTTTCTCCTTTTTTGTCTTTTTTACTGACCGGCAACGGGATCGCAACCCTCAGTATTGCGCCCGCACTGCGCTCAGCCAGTGAGCGGGAACCAGTCTCCACATGGGATCCGAACCCTCAGTGGGAGCGCCGCCGGGCTCCCAAGTGGCGCACTCTCCAGTAATATATGCAAGTCTGACATACGACAGGCCTTCAATTCAAGGTGGCTAATCTGATGGTTGTCAGGTAGGCCACTGCAATCACGGAGGGCTTCCTGGGGGAGTGTTAGTCCCAGAGGACAGGGAGGGCTTGGAGAGTGAGACCCCTGTGTCCGGAGGTGAGAACGGACAAGGGGTGTCAGGGCAACGTGACTAGAAAGGTCAATTTAGCTTCCTGGACTGGGATCATGGGGGTGTCTAGACACCCCCCTGGACCTGGGCAGGGGCCCTGGGATGTCGTGCAGGGGCAGAGAGTGTGGTGGGAATTAGATGCAGGAGGTGACAGTGAGGGGGGAGCAAGTGCCTCCCAAACTGCAAACTGGAGTGGCCGGGAAGGTGGGGGTGCCCCAGAGGGGTCCATGGCAGGCTGGGTCCCTGTTAGGCAATAAGTTGCGTCCCCCTAAAATTCACGTGTTGAGGCCCTAACCCCCGATGTGACTGCATTTGGAGAAAATTTGGAGAAAGGGCCTTTAAAGAGATAATTAAGGTTAAACGAGGTCATATGGTGGGGCCCTGATCTGACAGGACTAGTGTCCTTATGAGGAAGAGACGTTCTGGTGAATGGCTGGTCCTGAGAGGCCCTGATGAGGCCCCCAGGAGGGGAGGGGGTGAAAGGGAGAGGCAGGTCCGGGGCACGTTGTGACTGGTCGTAGCAGGGCAGAGAGCAAAGGGGCAGCCAGGAGGGAAGGTGGGAGCCAGGAGCCGGCAGGAGCCTGAGAGTCAGGTGTGACACAGGCAGTTCCTTCCTCTCCTTCCAGCAGGAAGCACCAGAAGGGTCACGGAGGTCACAGTG